TCGAGTTCAGTTCAGATAATTAGTTTCAGTTCAGTTTCATACTTAGCCGGTTTCAGTTATACCGATTAAGTCCGAATACCATGTTAGATTCGAGAGAGCATCTTAACCTAAATAATCAGTTAAATTTATCAGTCTGAGCATAGTCAATAGTAATTGTTTATATTATTTTCTGTTTGATCAGGCATCAGCACTTCCTTCAGTTCAGTTTTCAGCAAATTCAGGTGGGGACTCAGACTAAGTATCACATGGTTTATAATTACGTTACCATGGTCGAGGTATGTATATTCAGATACCGCTCGGGGTAGTCGCCGGTCCATCCTGGGTTCTAGTGGCCTGATCTAGCCTCTAGAGTGTGCACATGGTCCGGTGTTAGTTTTGCCGGGAGATTTTCAGTTCAGATGTGACTTATGTCACGACGTGACTTCGGTCGCGAGATTCAGTTATCAGTTACGTGACTTCGGTCGCGAGATCAGACCGGTTTATCAGTAATCAGACATCAGTTCAATTCAGTTATATATGCTCAGTTCATGATCATGTTATTATTTACGATGTTGTACATTAGCATGAGTTTCTGCGGAGCACAGTGCCTTAGTGCTCACGCCCCACACCTTTCATGTTTTTCAGGTCGCAGGGTCGGAGATGAGGAGTGAGCGGGCGAGCTGTTCAGGACATTTATGTTTATTGTACTTATGATTTGCCACGCTAGACTTCCGCTAAAACTTTTCAGTACTTTTATCAGACTTTGTTCCGATGTTTGTCGGATAAGAAATTATGACCGTTTATATTTATCAGTTTAAATATTTAAACGGTTCTCAGAAAAATCAAGTTTTCACGGTAGCATCCCGATCAGTTTTCGCAAAAATAAGTATTTTGTTTAATTATTCAGTAAATTGCGAAAAATCGCGTACTCTGATGTAAAGTAAGTCGGGGTGTTACAGCTTAGTATCAGAGCGCACGTTTTTGCGTCTCTGAAAAGTTTTTCCAGTAAAAAATTTTCAGAAAAACCTGAACCGTCACGCTCACGCCTCGCCGACTCCAGGTAAGTGCTGATTCAGTTTTTCAGTTATAAACATATTACTTTGTCTATGCTCAGAAATCAGTAATCAGACTTAAGTTAAGATGCTCAATTCAGATTCAGACTTTAGAGTTCAGATGTAACTCTAGATTTCAGCACATTCAGACTTGACTTTAGAGATCAGTATATTCAGGCATGACTCTAGACTTTAGTATCTTCAGTATGACTCTAGAGTTTCCTCAGGTTTCATGTCAGTATTTATCGACCATTTTGGCAACTCGTCAAGAGATCTGTGTGCCTTAGTAATCAGTCAGTATATCATCATGTGTTCAATAATTTTGAACTTTTTCAATGTTCAGATGCCGCCACGTAGGGAACCCGATCATCCGGCTCCTACTCAGGCTACAGTGGTCGCCCAGTTCCGCGACTACCATGCCGAGAAGTTCTCAGGGCAGGGAGATCCTCGCGTAGTTGACGAGTGGATTCAGGGCCTGGAGTTTATCTTCGAGGTCATGGAGTGTCCTGAGAGATATCGCGTCATTTGCGCTCAGCTTCAGCTCACCGGGGATGCCAGGCTCTGGTGGAACGCTTACTGGGGCATGCGTCCCGGTGAGAAGGCGGGATGTACGTGGGAGATGTTCAGGGATTTAATCCGCGAGAAGTACTATCCCACTTACTACCAAGCAGAGATGGAGCGTCAGTTTCTATCGCTCCAGCAGGGTACTCGTACTGTCGACGAGTACGAGAGGGAGTTCACGAGACTTGCAGCTTTTATTCCTGATTTGGTCTGCACGGAGGCCCAGCGAGCGCAGCGTTTCATTGACGGGCTT